TAATTTTTCGTTTTATTTTTAAAAAATTATATTAAGTTGAGACTCCAAAATATTAATTTTTCCCTCAAGTTTAATTTTTCTCGCCCACATTTTTTAAGAGTTTCAATAAAATTGAATAAGAAAGAAAGCGTTTCTAAGTTTATGAGAAAATTATTATTATTGTAATTTATGGGAAAATTTTATAGTAAATACTTTACGCAACTTGTCTTTTAATTAAAATTTTTTATTAGTTTATATTTATTTTAGAAAATTAACGTCTGGAAATTAATTATTTATGAGCTAAAACAGATTCTCTTTCTAATTATGAAAGAAAAAAATTTTAGGCTATCTTTCAAATTATAGCAGATTCATATATATTTATGTATTTGTAATGAGGGCCCGGTCCGGTCAGAAAGATCGAGTCGGGCATCGAATTTTGCCCTGAAAAAGGCTCGGTCGGGCCTGCCCGCCCCAAAACCCCAACCTATCTATAATTGCATAAATCTTTTAGGTATTGCTGAAAAATGCTTTTTTCAATGGATTTTTTTCTTTATTTATCAATCTGCATAAGTTTACCTTCCGTTATTGTCTACATTTTACAAGTTTTGACAATTATTCTGAACAAATCTCTTCACAATTCTTTCTACGCTTTGTTCTGTATTCGAGCTTTTTATGTAAATTTTTAAATATATTATTGAGTTGTCCGAGACATTCTGATTTTCCATGTTTGTTTTCGCAAAAGTGGAACTACAATGTAGGAAAGGTGGATTCGGTTGAAATAGTTGAAGGAGATGACCGTAGCTTGCTTCCGGAGCCGGCTCCGGCGGAGCTGTAACCGGAGCTAAGTTTTTGAAAACACCGGATCTGGAGCATGAGCCAAGAATTAGAAATGCCTGGAGCCAGGATCTGAAAAAGTACGGAGCTGAGCCGCAGCCAAGATATGCCCATAACACAGCACTGACCTAAACCATATAAGTTTCAAGACACACAACTGCCTTAAAACCTAGACTTTTCTTAATTTTTCCATCTTGTTTTTCGTCTTGTATTCCTTGGTCTATAGCTTGGAAAATTTACGGTCTGGACTAATAGTTTTTTTTTAATTTAACTATTTTAAGGGTGTTGTCTACATTATCGACTCTTATTATGGATACAGAATTCCAAATTTATTTCCATATTGGTTTATAGCTAATCCTTATCCAGAATGGACATTGGCAGTATTTCATTTCCTAGCAAACTATGTACTTAGGTTGTGTCATAAATAATTAGCCCCCCTAAAACCATGTATAGTGTAAGCTTTATATCTCAATGTTCAGATCTCCAATCTATTTAATTTTTTTGTCATATATTCACAATGATGCCTTCTTCATTTTCTGAAAGATTTGAAATTTTTTCTTTATTTAAAAATTTTTATGAATTTTTAAAGTTTAAGTCAAAATTAGGAAATTGGCGTCCAGTTCAGAGATGGGATTGAACTTGGACATTCGGAAAAGTAATCATGGCGCAAAATATGCAAAGCGAAGTATGTGGATGTTATCTCATATTCCACTGAAAAAAGTTGGCTCTCCAAGTAAAAGAAAAGTAGAGAGGAGCTGAAAGACAAATAACGTCTTGGATGCCAACCAACGATAGATAAGAATCCCGTTCTCCCCGGAATCAAGGCCAGTCCAAAAAATAAAATGTGTATATTGGGGCAGGCACTACCTGCTCACTTACAAAAATTTCCATAATTTTGCTTAAAGCGGGAAACAAGTTATGAAGGGTCAATTGATACCCCATGAATTGCCGCAAAATTAAAAAAATCGCTAAGTCACTTTTGCAAAACAACCCCTTAAATGCCACAATGAAGCTCCTTGTTTGATACAAATTTTAACCTATAATGAAGAGTGGGTTGCCTTCATGAATTCTGTAAACAAAAAGGAACGGCTCATCCCAGATAACCATCAGTTTCGACCTCTAAATCAGACTGGTCCTAGAGCGTGATCTGTTATGTATTTGATGGTGTTGCGGAGGTGTATTCATTGGAAATTAGATGAAACTGGCTGAACTATTACCCCCAAATAGTATTGTTCCTAAATAAATCGAGTCCGTCAAAAAATCCGGTCTTCTGGCCTATCTGGGCATTTTCGCGCGAGGGTTATCCTAAAACAGAGTAATGTAGCCCCTATTTCGCAAATGCGACCCTCTAGAAAATCAGCCAGTTATTTTCCAGGGGAATTTTTTATATCATTGTATTCATCAGATTCTGCTCTATCAGAATCTATTTAAATTTTCATTCTTACTCATCAATTTTGCAAAGAAAAATCAAAAAGACTTTGCCTTGTTTCAAAAATACAAGTTGTATTATTTTACCTCTAACTCCGGCCAACCTAATCCTAGGACTCTAATTTTTTGTCAGAAAATAGGCAACCTTCTTATGATCATAGAAAAATATAATTCGAAGTCTGAAAACATTTAGTTGAATTTTAATAATTATTTAATCCGTTTAGCATAAGGGGGGCTAATTATTTATGACACAACCTAGGTAATTATGGGCGATAATCTGTCATCATTTTTTATAATGCTAAATAGATTTATAGCAATTAGATGGGCATTTGATTATAAATTGGTAAGCTAAATCGAGCGAAAACATTTTAAAAAACAAGGCAAATATATGACGTGATTCACCAGATCTGTTATATTTATTTATTTTAAACAAAGTTAAGAAACTCAAAGGTAGGATTGTGCTTAATCGCATGACAAAATAAAAATGTAGATAAAGGTTGTATGTAGGTATAAGAAAATATGTAATGACGGGAAAAACTAACTATTGGACACCTTCATCCTTGAAAAAGGTTCGGCTTTCACTCAAAGCCGAAGCATTACACTTAAGCTTTCACCAGCTAAACAATATATCCGAGCAAACATTAATATTTATCACATTTTATACATATTAATTTATCAGACATGGTCATGGATACGGATATGGATACAGATAATACCAAAATGCCTGCGGATATCCGCCTGTATCCGTCGTAAATATCCGGATACGGATACCAAAATCCGTATCCTAGTCTGATTTATCTTTCCTCACCGAAAGAGGGAAAGTAAAAATAAGAAGGTGTATGTAAAGGGAAGTTAGCCAGCGTATTTCTGAATTAATTTAAAACTTTAAGTTATGGGTAAAGATCCATCTGATAGCATGTTCCCTCTGCTTTGTATTACCCCTTTATTGCATTGGGATTCTCACAATAAGATGCACTTATTTTGCAGAAATGGATGAAAAGAATGAAAATATTGTTTTAATTAATATTATTGAATTTGGAAATGTTAGTTTACTGATAAACATGCTTAAAATATTTTTTATTTAAAGGAAGGAAGGCTAGATTTCTATATTCAATTAAGTGCAATCTTGGCAATTTTTTTCTTTTTGCTTTCATTATAATTAATCTAATGACTATTTTTACCTTCAAAGTAAAGGTAAAAAATATAATTGAACCGGTTAACATTGCTGGAACTAAAAATTCTGAGGACAACATTGAACGAAGATTGTGGATTTTTGCTTTAATATCTTCATTTGGGCAAATGTTAATCAAAAATTTGACCCTCACCTCGGGCAATTTAAACTAGGGTTGCGCGAGTTCGAAGTTTTTCGAAAAAACCGAGACCGAGGATCAGTGAGACTGAAAAAGCGTGTATCGAGGTGAGGGTCAAATTTGAGGCGAGGTCCTAGGTTCAAAGCCTTGATCAAATTTTTCATATATTTGGAATAGAATTTTTTAGAGTGAAATTTTTGAAAGTTTTGGTAATAGGCAAAATTTTTGAGAGTTTTGGAAGACCAGTTATTATGTATAATTTAACTTAGATTTGTATGTATGCCTCTAAACTTTGGAATGTGATTACAAAGTCATTTATTGGCAACATATTCGTAATTGTAATGGATCTCGGAATGGTTGTATTACCAAGTTGGCCATTACTTTGGGCCAGTGAATCATTTAGAATTAAATTTCTTCATACAATTCTTCCGGGAAAGATTAATAAAAGAATTATTGAATTAATAACACAAACACCAAAAATGGTAAAAAATGGTCAAACAAAAATAAAGGTTTTGCCGGCGAATTTAGCAACCAAGAGAATCAAATAACAAGAATTAGACGTTAAAATTAAAGTTGGAAAAGCTTGTAATAGTTAAGTTTGTCTTTCCCCTTTTTTTCTTTCGGCAGTAGTGTAGTGTGAAGTAAAGTTCGGGAGACATGTCATTCGATTCGGCTCGACGAACTGAGTCGAACGTTACCACTCACAATTTTAGGAAATGATTCTGGACCGAGTTATAGGCCCCGAAAAATTGAAAAACCATAGGGGGAGAATGGTCGATTTCGGGGTGAAAAATTCGAATATGCAAATAATAAATTGTCCAGAATCATTTCCTGAAATTGTGAGTAACGTTCGACTCAGCTCGTATAGACGAATCGAATTACATGTCACGTTCCGAGCTTTTACCTCGGTACACTACAGCCGAAAGAAAAAAAGGGAAACACAAACTTAACTATTGCCGAAAAGCTTTCAGTTCGAATGTAATTCGGCCTGACAAGTTAAACCTAGGCTGATTATAATTTGGAGAGTGTCATATCATCTTTTATTTTTATAGCTAAGTACGTAATATGTAACTCATTAAATAAATTTGTAATTTATTAGATATTAACAATACCATAAATCAGTTAGAATTATTTAAATTTTTGCAAAATTTCTCAAACATTTGTATTATGAAAATCAACAATTTTTTCAAGTGGTTTTCTTTTCTTAACACCCGTTTTTGAGAAAAACTCTATAAAAAACGATTGAGTGAAAAGTTTATTGACTATAAATATCTAGTAAAAATTTCAGATTAATTAGAGAACCAGGACCTAGAAAACCAGAGAAAAACTAGGTGGTTTTATAATTTCTTAACAACTATATAGGTCCAATTAAACACAACATAGTGACTTAAGAAGATTTTTGAGTGACTTCAAGAAGGGTAAATGTCGATTTGGAGGGATATAATGGGATTTTAAAGGATTTATAGGATATCGAGAATTAATGTGGATATCGAGAAATTTAAAATATATTGATGATTTGGGGTATTTGAAGGGAGATCAAGGAATTTTGTGGATTAAGAATGATATCAGGAGAGTAGTTAGTTACCACACAGGTTTCGGGGCAGAGGGAAGTGCCGGCAATATTTTGATTGATGTTCAACGGGTTTCCGACAACCTATTGATGGGTTTGGCGGTTGAAAATTTTCTTATGAAAATTTTTAAAAATTATAAAAGTTCAAAAACAAAATTAAATAAAAATTTAATTTTAAAATAAAAAAATATTTTTTGGTTAAAGGATGATGTAATTGTGAGACAAATTAAAAGAAGAACATAAAAGACAAATAGGTAGTTATGAAATTAACCGCTAAAGGAAAAGCATAAAGGGCATATATTTAATTCAATTAACGATTAAACACAACATAGTGACTTAAGAAGAATTTTGAGTGACTTCAAGAAGGGTAAATGTCGATTTGGAGGGATATAATGGGATTTTAAAGGATTAATAGGATATCGGTGAATTAATGTGGATATCGAAAATTTAAAGGGATTTTGATGATTTGGTGGTATTGGGAGGGATATCAAGGAATTTTGTGGATTAAAAGTCATATCAGGAGAGCAGTTAGTTATCATATAGGTTACGGACAGTTGGAAATGCCACAATATTTTGATTGATGTTCAACGGATTTCCGACAACCTATTGATGGGTTTGGCGGAGGAAAATTTTCTTATGAAAATTTTTAAAAATTATAAAAGTTCAAAAACAAAATTAAATAAAAATTAAATTATGAAATCAAAAAATTATTTTGGTTTATGATGATGTAATTGTCAGAGAAATTAAAGGAAAAACATAAAGGGCAAATAGTTATGAAATTAACCGCTAAAGGAAAAGCATAAAGGGCAAAAGTTGGATTAACGACTAAAGGAATAACATAAAGGGCATATATTTAATTCAATTAACGACTAAAGGGAAAAATAAAGTGCATATAGTAATTAAGAAATAATCAAGATAAAAAAACTAGCGGGAAATAAAAGGGCAAATACATCTGGACTAGGAAGTAATATGTAATTAAGAAATTAATTAGTGCCTATTTAAGAAATAATAATTTACCAAAAAATCAGTTTGTATTCCCTTTAATTTATCTTAAACACCTTCCTAGTCCAGATGGACCTCTCTTCTTCGTTAGATTATATTGGGCCACCTCCTGTCCGGAATCCGGGTAAATTCAGCCGAACATCGGAACTTATTTTTTCTGGATTAAAAAAAGCTGGCTATATGCTTAGCGATAAAACCTAACAAAATTTCAAGAAGTTTCGCTTTCAACGGTGAAGAGTAGGAAACCTATGTAGCCTTAATAGCTAGGCAGTTCGGTCCAGTCTAAGATGATCCAATCTCTTTAATTCTTGTATTTATAGACTTATTATTTAAATTTTTTCAAATAAATAGTTAAAGTATGGCATCCATTTATTTGGTCCTTCTTCTCTCTTTGTTCAATTTTATTTTGAAAATTGAATCCACCCACTACAGAACATTAATGGTTGATAAAAATGCTTCCCCTGATGAGATTGAAGAAGCATTTAACGAAAGGAAAGAAAAAAATCGAACTGCAAAACAGAGCGATAAAGACTTTTTTGATAATTTGGAAAAATTGTCAGAAGCTCATTCGATTCTTAGTGATAAAACAAAAAGGGAAAAATATGATAGAGAACTTGCTAAAAATAAAGGAAAATCTAAGGAAGGGGAAAGTTCAAATGCTGGAAATATAAACCAAGAAGAGAGTCGACGTACATCGCAGTATTTTGGCGGAGGAACGCATCATTTTAGAGGGGGAATAATTAACAACACCGGATCATTCTTTGGCACAGAAACTGGTGAATTTGTCTCAGGAGATCAGGTTAACATGGGATCCTCATTTGGTGGATCAAGATCCTCAATTGGAAAAGGGTTCCCACGTGGAGGGAATATCCGAAGTAAGTAAAACATATAATAACTTTTACAGTTTTATAAAGTACATATAAAAGTACATTCACATCTCGTTATTCTCAAAACAGTGTCCATGTTATATCTACTATTTATTTTCATAAGATACATTCCAAAGTCAAGTATAAAAACCTTACATCCTTAATTTTTTTATTAATCTAAATTAATATCAATAAAATAAAGTGCAAACATATCCAAATTAATAATTAATACTTAAATATAAAGGTTGGAATGGAGGAGTTGATTTCGTGAAATTATCAGTATTCAAAGAAGGAATTCTTGTTGAAAGCCCTGAGCAGTATTCTGAGTTTGTTAAAAATTTAAAAATCAGTGGTGGAGTAGGGAAAGCAATAATTTATGGAAATAACATAAAAGCAAAAACCAAAGGTTCCAATTTTTTAGAAGAACCAGTTAAAGTTCGTGTTAATGGAGGGATCAGCAATGTTTCTACAACTACAAGTAAATATATATTTGAAGAAATCAAACCAAATCACGCAATAAAGGACAGTTTTAGCATAAATGGGGGCATCAATAATCTCGAGGTTATCCAAAGAATTAATTTAGAATTCAAATTGTTTATGTGTCAATCTTAAAGTCGTTATAGAGTTAAGACCATCTTAAAATTTAGGTCCATATTGCTGATGAAAATGGTGATAATAATATCAAAATAAATGGCGGAATTTCTAATATTCAAATGATTGGAGAAGCTAATACATACGGAAATCAGGGAGGAGGAAGTGCTGGGTATCAAAGAGCCTCCTCTTTTAGTGGAGCATCGCATCAATCAAGAGGCAGAACATTCTTTAACACAGGGTCATTCTTTGGCGATGGATTTGGTCGATTTGGCTCAGGATCCCAATCTGGCTCAGGATTTCAATCTGCTCGGCATAGCCAAAGTGAGCAAAACTCATAATAAATTTTAAAACTTTACAGAGTATAGAAATATATACTTATAACGTTATTGTTACACTGAAGTTTAAAATCCATGTTAGAATTCCTCAATTTTTAGAATTGATTCTTTTAAATCAATTTATTAAAAATACGAAAACAAACATAGCTCGATATGTTTGTTAAATAATGTAAGTGAGAGCTAACTGTTTAGCCACGAGCAGGTGCTTATAGACGAAGCTGGGTGTAAGCTGGATCAGTCTTCTTGATTACAATATTTTACTTAATTCACAACTTTTTTTATACTAATTAATATTTATATATAAAGGTTGGAATGGAGGATTAGGTTCTGTAAAAGTATCAGTATTCGATGAAGGAATTCTTGTCGAAAGCTCTCAACATTATTCTGAATTTGTTAAAAATTTAAACATCAATGGTGGGGTAGGGAATGCAATAATTAATGGAAATAACATAAAATTTACTGAATATTGGTCGAAGATTGATATATTCATTAATGGAACCAATGTTCGTTATGTCGAGGGGGTGACAATTGTAGACGGAGTTAGAATTGAGAAAAATGGAGAAAAGATAAAAATAACAGGACGTAACATTACTCCAAATACTAATTTGAAGGGATTTAAAATGATGAAAGGAAAGGCTTTTGAATTTCGTGCTAAAGGAGGGGTCGGAAATATTACTACTTCTACAGATAGATATGTATTTAACCAAATAAAGCCACAAGGCCAAGCAGGGAATGCTCTTACAATAAATGGTGGTATCACAACTCTCGAGGTAATCAAAAGGACTATTTTTCTTTTAAATAGTACCATACAAAAAATTTAACTTTTGTTGGGCTTTCCTTACTGAGCTTCCAAATAACAAAGAAAACAAAATTTTATTCCAGGGGTTGGGGTCGGATTATAAATTCTAGCAGAAGATTTGTTTAACAAACAGGTTGCAATACAATAGAATAAGCGAGACTATGCACTTGAGTGAAAGCTGGCTGCGACTAAGGAATAACACTAACACAAGACTAACTACAAACTATCACACTACTACTACATATAAGGTCAAAAATACCGAAAATTGGAGCCCAACTTTTTGAAAATCTTGTAGCAAAACTTTTCTGGCTCCAAATTTCCTGACTCTTCCCTACATCTCCATATATTTGATTTAAATCTCAATCTTAAAATTTAGATGCATATTGCTGATGTAAAGGGTTATAATTATATTAAATTAAATGGCGGAGTTTCTAAGGCTCACATGAATGGGGCAGGAAACACTTTTGGTAAGGAAGAGATTAAAGACGATAAAAGCGCTGTTTACATTACTAAAAATTCTGGAGGTTACTCTAGCGGTGAAACTGTAATTACAATTGAAGGGAATTCGGTTTCAACTATGACTTCTGGTGGAGTGTTTTTTGGCTGAGACGGCTTTTGAAGCAATTTTTGGGAAAAAGTTACTAAGAAAATATCTAAAAGAATTAAAGAAAAGAAAAGTAATTCAATGAATTAAATTTAAAAAAATTTTAATTAAACATTGTTTAGTATATTGTCTAAATTATAATTAAATTTATGTAGCTTTTAAATTTTTATATTTAAAATTAAATTTTTCTAATTCAATTAGTAATGTTTGTCCAAGATATAATTAGTTTTTAGATAAAAAGCTCAAAATAAGCTTATTCTTTTTTAAAAATTTATTAGATTCAAGAGTTTTACTCGCTTGAATTGAAGGTAATTGAATGATAAACTAAATTTATATAGTAAAGGCAAAATACCAAAAGGTCTAAACAAAAAAGGCAAACAAGGATAATTATTAGAGTTAGCCAAAGCCGGTTATTGTCGCAAAATAAAAAATAATAATACAATATTATTATATTTACTAGATAAAGAGAGTTCTTTTCAATTAAACAAATTAGATTAACATAAAAGAAACTTTAGAAAAATAAAAAACTCTTTTAGGAAAAGATATCTTAACTCAAATTGTATTTAAAGTTTCACAAATACATAATATACTTTATTTAAATCTTTTTACATAATCTAAACGTTATAAATTAAATTCTAGAAATATCTAGAAAACTCAAATTTAACTCAAATAGAAACACGAAAAACTCTTAATCAAAGAACTTTAAACTTAGAAAACTCAAATCAAACTCTTGAAGTTCTAAGTTCAACTCTATTTAAAATAAAACAAAAATCTAAAAGTTACACAACTTTTATTCAAACAAATTCTATTACAATTAGAAAAGCTCTTGAGAGAATCTTACAAACTCTTTACTCCGAGAATTTAAAAAATAAACTCTGATTCTTTCGCTAAATTCCTAAGTTTATATAGAGGGAAAAATGGGAGGATCATTATAGAAAATAGAAATTTTACAAAAATAGTACATATGAATTTGAAAGAAGTGGGCGTATTTATGAATAAGCTTGACTAAAATAAATTAAAAAATAAAAATATTTAAATAAAAGACAAGAACAAAAGGGTCAAAAAATAAAATACAAAAGTCGCATTCGCGTCAGTCATTAACCGGTCCCCCTGGTTAAAGTTTAACCTAAATATGCTATCTTTAAGGTTATTAACCGTGGCCGGTTAATTTCGCAAAACATCCGGTTAACGTAACTGTAAACGTAAGCGGTTAATTGGTTTTGTACAACCCTTGTAATTATCTAACATAACAAAAGTGCAACTTTTTACTCTAAAATGTTTGGTAATTTATAATTATTTTTTCAATTTTGTTTATTAATTTTAAATAATTTTTAGCTTACTTTAATAATTTAAATTACACCTTTTGTTTACGAAAAAATATTTAATTATACTCTTTAAAATTTTTGAAAAATGTTAAAAATTGTTACGTTTGATATAATTTAATGGGCACTCAGAAGTTTACCTTCCATATTTCTAACTCTTAGTTATTTAATATTCTTATAATTTCTTCAAAAAATTATGGTACATTGCCTTTAATTTTAAATAAAATCAGCTACTTAAAATGGTTTGCGGACCATCTTTGGACGTAAGAATCTTTACATTTTGGTGAAATTTTAAATAAATTATTTAGCCTGATTATTTATCAAATAAAGATGCTGGAGTTAAATTGGTATTAGTAATGCCAGCAATTGAATTTTCGTTGATTTCGATATTTGGAATTATTTTTAATTTCAGTGTTTGTTATATAACATTCAAATATAGGTATATAATTATATGTATATACCGTATTTATTCTAATTGAATGGCCCCTCCATTTGAATGGCCCAAACTACCTAACTCGTATTTATTTAATCCCTTTATTAACTAATTTAATATTCTTTTTCTGTACGGATAATTGTGATATTTTTGAGAAGATTTAGAATCACAAAAAAGGATTAAAAGGGATATCGGTAGATTTGGGAGGATTAAGAGAGTTATCAATCGATCAAAAGGATTTGGAGAAAACATCTGATATCCTCTTTAAACATTTGATATCCTCCAACTTGTTCAATATCCCTCCAAATCCCAATAAATTCTTTCTCTTAAAATCTCCCTGATATCATTTTAAACCTACAAATTCATGAATACCTTCAAAATCCCTCTAAGTACTCTTGATTCCTCTATATCTTGCCCAAATTACTCAATACCACGTAATATTAGGACCTAACTGTAAAGGAACTTTTTATTTTTTAACTTCGATGTTAATCAAAATTTGACTTTTTAGCCCGACAGGCATAAAATTTCTGAGTTTTATAGTGAAACTGAGAGAAAATACACTAGACAAATTCAAAAAATTTCGGATTCGGAAAATACTAGGTCGAATATTCGTTTCAATTAATCTCTATTTTTAACCTATGAAAAATAGAATGGCCACCTCTATTTGAATGGCCCCTCCAATTGAATGACAATTTTTGGCTCTACTCCAGTTTATGCGTCCAATCGACTTTTATGCGTCCAATGACAGTTTATGCGTCCAATCAAAAAACAATTTGACTTTTCTTAGTATTGCAAGGTTGGGGTATGGCTCAAAGCATTTCTTTAAGTTCGGGACCTACGCCCACTGGGTCTAAGACCATTTCTTGCCCTATCTCTCGAAATTTCGGAAAGTTATAACCAATTTTTAAAAATTTCGGAAAAACAATTATAACTGTCCGAAATTTCGAGAGTTAGGGCAAGGAATGGTCCAAGACACAGTGGGCGTAGGCCCCGAACATGAATAAATGCCTTGGAGCCATACCCCAACCTTGCAATACTAAGAAAAATCCAATTGTTTTTTGATTGGACGCATAAACTGTCGTTGGACGCATAAACTTTCATTGGACGCATAAAAGTCGATTGGACGCATAAACTGGAGTAGAGCCCAATTTTTTGGGTATCGAAAAATAGAATGGCGGCCATTCTATTAGAATAAATACGGTATATTCCATAACATTTTTAGGTTGACCTATGAAGGAGAACATTTGCGTTAGTATATAGTGGTCTTCTGAAATTCTAGAAATGGGCTCCGAAAATCAAGCCCCGTTCAACTTTTGTAATTATCTGAATGAATTTTCTAGTTAATTTACTCACCAAGACTTTAAGGAATGTCAGATCCAGCAAGCTAACTTTTATATGCCTGGACTTACATTTAGGAAATGTAAGTCCATTTGTCTTGTGGCTTTGGTACTATAAGGATTATTGACCTAGAGCATTTAAAACGATTAGGCGGGGATTAACGATCCTAAAGGATAAAATAACTTAGTGTTAGAGCACCTGCATTTGTTTGAGCAAGGCCGAGCGAGCACTGTTAGTTCAATGTACTCTGTCACCTTGAATTCTTTCTTCGAATTCTGCACAATGGCTAAACATTAACTAAACACCTTTTCTTATAACTAACACTACGTATCTAATTATAATTTGATAAATTTAGAAAACAATATACAACACTTGGAAGTAAAACAGCTATTCTAATCACTTTGAATTCTTTCTTCGAAAGTTTAACGTTTAGTGCTCATTTCCTCTTTCTAGCTGTTACAGCAAGCGGAACAAATTTTATTCCTTTCAAGAAGGCTATTGTCTTCCACTTTCATGCAATGATTGGATATTTCTCTATAATCTTAATGATGTATTCTCTAAGTTTTGACAGACTTTTAGCTGTTGCATTTCCATTCTTGTATGTTTTTAAATTTTTAAAGCTATATATTTAAAATAATTTTAATACGCTTATGAGATGCAACTGGACTAGGAGCAACTGGCTCTAGGAGCTATCTGCGAGAGTCATGTCCAGAATTGTCGGCAGCTCTTGCCTTCTTTTTTTAACTCGAACCACCCCCCCCCCCCCGCCCTAAGCATTTTAAATCTTGCAAGATTAATTGTAAGATTATCTTAGATTTAAGTAGTGGTGTGCTGAAACTGATTTTAAAGAGCGAATGGCAAGAAACAAAAGACGATCTATAAAATAGAGAGCTCTCCCTATTACAAGGAGAATATAATTTTCCTCCATTTCTTATCTTTATGGCAAGATATCGCAAAAATTTAAGCCCATCCTTCATATGCCGTATTCATATGCCTTATTTGCAAATTGTCAACGAATCATTTTATAACCTGAGTGAAACTAATAAAAGCTAATATATACTTAATTAAAAAAATTTTTTCTCCAATTTTGCGTTCTTGCATTTTGCGTATTGCGTTATTTGCGTTAAAATTTGGCCTTGCGTTTTGCGTCTTTTGAGATTGTCTCTTGCCCCACCCCAGATCAATAGCCTAAGGTTTATAGGAGGTGCTGAGCCCGAATATAGTCAAAACATACTAATGTTGATACGAATCGACTTAGCTTGAAGGGTGAGCCAAAACTACTATTTCTCTTAAAATCAATTTTTAATTTAAATCAAATTTTCAGTACTGATTACAACAAAGCATACAGGAAAGAATTCAACAAAATCAAGTTAATGATAAAAAAGATGTTTGGAATAAAAGTACATCCAACAATCCAAGTTAAACCTTGTAGCAACATAATTAATGGTATTAATATAGAGAGTGTGTGTTAACTAATGTTCTTGGAAAATCTTCGGATATACGGAACCGAATCGAAAAAACAGGCTAGATTAGTCTTCTTAACAAAAGAAATAAACAATAGAGATAAATGTGATTAAAACAAGCTTTTTTTACAATTTATACTAAACTACTAATCGTTTTGAATATAAAATGCGTTTAAAATAAAAGTTAAAAAATGAATTTAAAATAAAAATCATTTCATACATACTTTAGAAGAATAATAGTGTTTTTTAGACGGGTTGGTGATCGGAAACAGAAATTTTACTGTAGCTTTAAAAATTGGAAAAAATTGCTTACTGTAAACATTTTCTAAAAAATAAAAAAAATTTAATGTAAGAGGAAATTTTGCATTTTGCACTTCTTTCCCCTGATACATTTTCTCGATTTTTATAGGGGCACTTAAAGATTGGATTTACAGTCATAGGTATAGAAGCCATATTTTTAGGAAGATCTCGAAAATGAAATTAGATATGGGCTTTTTAATTTCATCATATTATCGACAAATATGCTTGCTTGAATTTTTCAGATTTTCTGTAGGGTGAATACTTAGTTAAGAGACTTTTCCCTATCTGAGTTACAGGACTTGTCTTTGGTACTTCATGGCTTCATTTCTGTTTTTGCAAAATTTCTTGTCCTGGGCAGACTAGGATATGGATTCAGATATTATGAAAATGCCTCGGATATCCTTTTGTATCCGCCTAAATATCCGGATAAGGATACCAAAATCAGTATCCATGTCCAAGTCTGGTCATGGGGTTGGATAAAAAAATAATTTAAAATAAACTAAATAAGCTCTTTCGATGTTTTCGAGTTTATTTCGATTTTTTTTCATTCTCAATAATTCAATTTTTTGATAAAATTTATATATCGAAAGAGCTTACAAGACTAAAGGATTTTTAAATAAGGTTAGTTTATACACAGTGTCAACTCTCAATCGTTTTTGTTCCACCACACAGATGCTTCTCAATGATTGAACAACTCTTCAATTTTCTCTCCGGCTTCTAATAACGGTGTAACAGCCCCAAAATAAACTAATCGAAGGTTTTTAAAATAGTCGTTTCCGTTTGAAGAACTTGTGGTTCCTTGTTGACCTTTTGCATACTCACTGAAAATTTTTTCTTGAAAGGCACTGTTCGGATCATAGCAAAAGAATAAAGAAAGCTTTGTTATTACCTTGATAGATCCAATTCAACGATTTTAGCGATCGATGTCTGAAACAATATTAAGATTAAATATATCTAGTTATATTAAAAGACCTGAGCCGCATATGTAAACATCCCTGAAATTTGATTATGAAAGGCATTAATCATCAATCCATGCGCAACAATTACAATTTGTTCTGAAAAAATATTATTTGATAAAAATGCCGTCTGTGTTTTAGTCAAACTCAGGCAGACAATAATATATTTGGATTCATACCTGCGGTTTCCTCTCCTGGTTGCATCCATTCATTATAATCCTTGCCCTTTTTGTCTTGATCGACCAAACTTTTGCTGAAGAATGGATCTTTTAAACGTTGTTTTTCATCATTATAGAGAAGTTGATTTAACACATATTCAAGGCGATTATTACAACCTATATCTGATCTTCGGCTTTCGTCCTTTATTAATAAAATTTATATAATTATAAAATTAGGATTTGAATCAACTATCAAGGGTATTGAAAATGCGGATTGCTAGTAGAGTGCGGCACGTGCACGACACCCTATTTTCCTGAATCCCTGACCATTTAGAGCTTGTGTGCTTGATCTATAATGCGAATTGCTCTTCGAGCTGGTTAGAATGATACCAATATTGGTTAGATTTGGTAATACTTAACAAAATTAAGAAGCTCAATCATCTCCGTGAAAGCTTTTCCTCTGCAAAAAATTAAAACAAGTGATCATAACCAGAAAGGCAAGGAAAAAATGAAATCCTTATATAGATCCAATTTATACTGATTACTATGCTAATATAATATACCTTTTTGTAATCTCGTGCCAAGTCATTTCTATTTAAAATAGGTACATATTTAGTATCTAAGCGAGAATGATGCTTTGCCAATTCTTCAATATCCTCATAACCAATAGGTTTATTGACACAGTCAATCATGTTCTCTATAAATCCAGGTTCTACCTTTATTTTCAATTCATTCTCCAGATTCCCCTTTGAATCGAAATTTTTGTGGCTTTCCCCTAAAAGAAGTAAAGCCGTTTGCAATGCCCGTTCATATGGAGAAGCAAAAATGTGTTGAATATTGATATTGTCGAAGCTAAAGGTTAAAATAACAAAAATATTTAAAAATTAAGTTCGGTTCCTAAAGTATTCCAAATATTTAAAATCTTGTTTAAACTTGGGATAGTCTTAGTTGAGGATGGAGTTCTAAGACCGCGAAGGTCCTCCCATCCTAGCATATAAAATAAAAATTGAAAACAGTCTATCCGTGGTGGTATTGTTAGCAGATGAAAGCTTTACATCGGAGGTCTCTCAGTAAACCTCCACATTCAGTGGCCAATATTTGTTTGAGTAGATGCTTAGGTTATAGTTCGAAAAAAGGGTTTTTAAGACTATTGCTTGTTCGATGAAAAAAATATTATGGCGATATCCGTTATTATATTTTTTTCTTAGCCTTGTTAAGTTCGGATACAAAAGTATTCTTTATCCTATTAATTAAAAACCTTTTTACTACGTTTCTTCGTTACTAATTCTTATAACAATTAAAAATGTTAGTTCGCAAATTTAGGCATTCCATAAATAATCAGAAATAAATCTTACACTTTTCTCAATATTGTAGCTCTCTTTATTCCCGTTTCATTCAAAGGAGAGTTGTCTAGTCCGAATTTTCTGCTACAATCTTCATTATAGTAGCATTGTTCTTCTCTTTCGAGAGCTTTCTTTTTTTCTTCCTTATCATTGTCAAGTCTTTCTCCATGGCGGACAACCGAGATAACTTTTAGGACCTTTGGAAACTGAGGACTATACTTTAAATAATCTTCGCCTAAAAGAAAATTTTTATTTAATTTATATTTGATCGTTGAAGTTAGAAAAAAACCAGAGCTGGTCACGGATACAGATCTTGGTATCCGTATCCGCATATTTACGGCGGATACAGACGGATACGGGCGGATATCCGCAGTCATTTTGATATTATCTGTATCCATATCCGTATCCATGGGCAGGTCTGGAAAAACATTCGAATGTTTGTTTTGTATATATATATATATATAGCTATGCCTTGAATAGTGAAACTCAAATATAATATCTTTACGATGGTACGACTTTTTCTGGACCCTGTAATTAATGCATATATATTTGCATAATTTGGCATTCTTGTGCATATTCGCATGTCTAAGCTATTTTGCATGTTTTGGTGCATTTTTGAGAATTCTCAATACATATCTCAATTTCACATAAATGCTTTGACTACACATTTATTACCGAGGGTTGAAAACCGGGAGCTAAACAGGATGTATCAATTCCAAGCTACTAGATTCAGTAAAAAATTTTTCCGCTTTTGAATAATAAATAAACGTCAAAAAATACCAAGTTCTCCGTTAACTTTAACTGATTCCAGTTCAGATTCCAATTTTTTATTGGCATCGTCAAAAGCTTTAGGGTCAAATTTTTTACGTAAAAAGGAATATGCAACATTCGGAAAGTTTGATTCTATTTCTATTTTAATACGTTGTAACATTCCATTCAGTGTTGTTTTCAAATCCTCATCAGATATCTTTAAATCGTTAAATTAAAATTTGTTTATTCATAACTTCAAAGGATATACACAAAACACTAACAAGAAGCATCTCAAAATATAATAAAACAAGAGGAAAAAACAATGTGTTTTTGATCATGTGTAACTATAACACGACGGGATAAAAGCCTTAGCCTTTTACATATATTGATCTCATAACCAACAGTTTAATCCTGCTGTTTGCATTTAAGAATTCGTTAACTACAACTACGAGAAGCATTTTTGTTGTGTAGTGGTATTAAGATAGTATAAAAGCTAGTGTAAGCGCCAATCTAGCGAGGCTAGTCACTGATCTCCGCCTTATTTAATACCTATTAAATGATACTGAAGATGTCGAGGTAAAACTCTCTATCTGGCTAGAAAAATTTATAAACAACCTATCCAGAATTTGCACGGAAATTTATTACTACGGTAACGGGAAGATTTTAACCTAAGGGTGACATCTTGAGAAATAAACTAGCTATAAAACTACCTCATTAACCAGTTTCCGAATCAAATTCCCGCCAAAGGTCAAATAAGCAGATCTCAAAGGCATAGAAAAAGTGCTGAGTGTTTTGCGCCATGTATTGTAACTATAGTCAATATTTTTAAGAAAAACTTTTTGAATTTTTTCAATGCTTGTTTTTGTTATTTTACGCCATTTTTTGAATTTTTTAATATTTAGGCTCACAAAAAGTGATTTTATCAAATTTTCCTTTTTTTCAGCATTCTTTTCAGCATCCTTTTTATCATCCTCCTTTTTTTCATTTTCCATCTCTTTTTTGATTTTATCCAATAAATCGCTATGTTTTTTACCAATTTTTGTAAATTTTGAAATCAACATTCTTTTGAGTTCGTCGGGTTTTCCCAAAGACGGGTAAAAGACATTATCACGCCATAATTTATAAGCTTTATCGAATTCTTTTACAAATGCCTCTTTCAATTTTTCTGGATTATAATTTTGCCATGTGAACAATATTTTTTCCTTCTCCTCAAAGTTCAGGTTTTTAAGCCATTCTCTCATTGTGGTTTCTTTGTTTGGAAGAGGAACATATGCTCGAATATTTTTGTTGTAGTCCTTTTTCAGTTTTTGAATTCTAGTTTGACGCCATTCAGTCAAACCCGAGTTTTCAAACAAACTTTTGTGCAGTTTATCCTTAATTTTATGAAAATTCAATAGAAGCTACCTTATAATTGAAAGGAGAAATCAAAATTGAACACCCCCCCCCTTCCTGAGTTTTGTTCTTCTATATTTTGTTTGTCTTGTCTCTCGCATGATCCTCTTATTCAACAGAGCATGCGAGTCCTCTCTTATTCAATGCCTTATTAGGCTATAAAGCGCGCGACTTGAGAGAAGAGATAAGGGAGAGGAAAGAGAGAAGGCATCGCGATTTTGTCTCTCCCTCTTTTGAATGCTCTAGTTTGACTTTTGTGTAAGCTTAGTGTTAGCATGACAATATCCAACAAATCGCTACGAGTTTTCATCAACTTCCCAATGTTCTTCCTAAGAGGTCCAAACAACTCCCTCCTTAATAGCCTTCCATATTTTAGTTATACGGCCTGCATGTCTTTATTGTAATATAAACATTACAATAGCTTCTATGTCCGAGAAGCAGTTGTCGAGCTGTTCAGAAAAAGCCAAATGCGGATTTAAAGTTTCTTCCATTGCAACGATATCATTGCCTAAATTTATCGAAATATTTACTTTTAATATTTCTAATTTACGAGGAATTGAAGGTGGCTTTTGGTAAAATGCATCCATGTAGCATTTTGCCATTTTCAAAACATCAATTCCGTTGATTTCCGTCTCGGAAAAACCTAAAAAACATTTTTTTCGATTTTATTAATTTAGGATGAGATTCCTAGAATTTTAAAGTTTACCTTGTCGAAGATTGACAAAAACAAGAAGAAATATTAAAATTAACATTTCAACTAAAAATTAAAAAAAAATATTTTGTGCGGCGGATTAAAGCATTTTAACTTGTGTGCTTATGGCTTTTACAATTATAATTTGAGGGTAATTATTAATAAAAATTACTTAAAAATAATATGAAAATAAAATGCCGAAATGAATGGCTCTACCTATTTTTGTCAAATTTAAAAACAAGGTATCGAGAAGGCGTGGTTTGGGAATGGGGAGGCATTGTGGGCGGCAAAACATGCCTTATTTCCCCCCTTAAAAATTTCAAAATTCTTACTTTTAAATCAAACAAACACTCTTTATAAAGCCGACTTCACTCCCTTAAATGCCCTCCCTACACACTCAAATGCTATGAAGAAATCTATTAAAAATTCTTTAAAAATTACTCTCCATCCCTCTTAAAAATTACCCTCTCTTTTAAATATTCCCTCGTTAATTTAAAAATGAAGCGGGGAGGCATTAAAAGCGTCAATGCCCTTTGTCAGTTTTTTGGGGATTCATATGACTGCCAAAAATTGGCATTAATGTATATGCGCTTTTAAAATTCTCCGCTATCCCCCCATTTTTTGTCATGTCCTTAAGTGCAATTTACAAACTACAAAAAAATATTACAAACTACAAATTTAAAAAATAAAAATCAATGCTAAATTAATAAAAATTAAATTTAAAAAATTATAAAAAAGAATAAAAGTAAGAAATTTTAACTTTGTTGCCGGAAACCGGCAATTTAACAAAGATTGCTTGTTTATTTGATTATCTAAGTTTAGTAGTCAAAAAGTTCAAAAGTTTTTTGGGTCTTGCTAGTCTACAATCATTTTATTTTTTTCATTCTGTTTACTGAAATTTTGTTTTATTAAATACCCTTACACCGTCAAATAAATTTATTAGATTTTAATTTTTGTTTATTTAAAACTGTCAGTCAAAACCTTACAAAATATAATAATTTAATGACTGGAGCTTGCAGTCAGAAATAGCCAGTGGAATTTCATCTAACTTTCAAATCATCTACTCTTTGGGTATCGACTATGAGGGGTATCGTCCTTACTGTTTGTTTCAGCGCAATAATTAAAAAATGGCAGAGGTGTGATAGGCACAGTAACAAAAATGTACAACAAAGATGATATTCCTAGGCACTTTAAGTTACTACGTACAGGTGCACTACAAACTGAGTTATAAAAGCACTGATCTCATAAAAGATCTTAAATGACATCCAGAATCTCGATGTTATTTTCACAACTTTAGGCCATGTTTGCAACTTTAATATTTTTAATTAGTCTGCATCATATGGTTTCTTCGAGGAAAGCTAACAAATTTGTTTTGTTATGCAGTTTGCCTTTTCGTTTCCTGCGCCATTAAGGTATAGTTGATATATTTAATAGAAATTGTTAGCATTTTAAACTTGCGCTTACTAAAATCTTCGAGATAATTATTTTCCGAATTGAGCAAATGTTAGCATTTTAAACTTGCGCTTTCTTAAATTTTCGAGATATGGCAAACATTAATCTTTAACAAAACTATCAACAATTGTTTATAATGCAATATTTATTTGAAAAAAATCTGATAAAAAATTTTAAATAGTAAAAAAGAAAAGAAAAGGAAAATTAAAAATGTTATAATATACAAAAGGATCAATTTCAAAAAATTAAACAAATTCACGTGAACTATGATTCACTGAAAGGGATACTTCTTGCAATTTTCTATTTTTAAGAAAAAGATTAACAAAAGTTAAAAAGATTTAGTTAAAAATTCGCAAGAAGTTTGTTAGGATTGTCAAGGAGTTTGTTAGGATTGTCAATGTTATAATATACAAAAGGATCAATTTCAAGAAATTAACCAAATTACGTGAAACTGTGATTCACTGAAAGGGATATTTGAAATATGTTGGAATAATTATAAAAAAATATCAAAAGTCAGAGATCAAATGTTTATATAATGCTATATTATTATAAATTGCAGATTAGCTTTAAAATTCTCATATTTAACATTAACTTATTATTATAAATTCATTATTTTAATTTGTTTAAAATGAGAGAATTTGGGAAAAGGTATTTTGTATATTTATATACTAAAAAGATAAATTTTTGGTAGGATCCTCAACTTCGTGCAATTTTCTATTTTTGAAGAAAAAGATTAACAAAAGATAAAAAGATTGAGTTAAAAATTCGCAAGGAGTTTGGTAGGATTGTCAGTGGGTACCAATGGCTGAGGTCACTAGAAGTAGCACCGCATATTGTAAGATATGCGAGATGACAATTGGTGAAAAATGTTTACAGCTTGTTTATACGCATGTTGAATGCGACTTATTTAAATGTCGTTTTTGTAATGATGTATGTTTATTTTATAAATTATGTATAAAGTCTGTATTCATAGCAAATATTTCGCTATTTAATCTTGTCATTTTACTAAATTTATAGTCAACCTTAATGATATCTAGTAATTTTTAAATAGCTTAGTTTTGAATTTTTCAATTTATTTTAAAAAAGTCCTTTTATTAACTGTTTCTAGTCAAAATTTACGACATCTAGTCATTTTAAAATAAAGTCTTTCAAAATTTTTCAATGTATAGCATTTTGTTAACTATTTTTCGCAATGTTTCGATTTCTAGTCCATTTTTACGTTTTTAAGCATTAAATGTGTATTTTCTATTTTTATCAATTCTTTGTGATTAAAAATCTACGATATTCATGCCAAAATACTTTTTAGGGACATTTGATAGAAAACAAATGATCGGTCACATGGTTAAGCATCATAAATGTAATGATTCGCCTATGACCAACGATTTATTTATTTTAAAACTATTAAGGTATGGCCTAATATAAAATGATAAATTATAAAATATTTTAGATTATGATAAAAAAGTGTTTTCCTAGGGAGTTTGTTAAATATCCTCAAGGAAAAAAGTTTTTGGTAGTACAATTTTATAATATTTCATATAGATTTATATTCAGGAACTCCGACACCCCTTGGCAGATTTCAAATTCTTATATTTTATACTTACTTATTCCACGCCATTTAAAATTAAATTCAATAAAATTATTAAAATAAATTGTATTAACATATGTATCAGGGATTAGACGTGCTATTTGAAATCCGACCAGAGCCCGAACCTGGACTTTACTCGCCCGAAACCCGGTTCTAATAAAACTGTGGGAATCCCAGTTCAACCCCCGTCTCTGAAATTTTCTCAACCCGGCCCATCCCTGATTAGCATAATTCAATGTTTGTGACCATAATCATAGATGGGCGCAAGGGACAACTGCGGAAAAATCCGCGCAATCCGCTAGAAATATTTTCTTGCTATCTTTTTCCCTTCCACGTTACTTTTATTCTACCATAGCTGACAATGGCTTGAGATTAGTTCAAAAAGCCTTTGTCGCGTTCAGCCTAAATCAAAATAATTTTGTTAGGAACTTCCAAAATTCCTCAGTTCCAGCATTTTTTAATGTATTCTCTCTTCAATAATTATCCAATCTACACACATTCCCTATTGTTATTTCAATAAAGTCTAGTCATTCACTCTCATTTCTATTAACACAATCTAGTTAATTATTCTCTTATTTTTTCGGTTTTGTAAAGAGACAGTCATCGTCCCAATCCTTTCATCTTCTACTCTTCCCTCTAATTTTTGCACCATTCATTTATTAAAGCCATTTAATCGCAGTCTATTTAGCTTGTTTTATTGAGATTTTCTAATATTAATTAGACTTAACTATTATTTGATAAATTTGATTTTAACAACTTTTCTGCATAAATCCAGCTTTCGATATCCTATATTTTTGCAAGCAATAAACTCTAACATTGCATAAAATCTATTGATGGCTTGATAAGACTAGTAAATGACTATAAATTATTTCCGAATAAATAGGGACCGATGGCAACTATAGTACCCAAATAATAATGAATGAAGCTCTTTTCATCCAAAAATGTGATAAGACCAACTGAAGTCAAGCTAGATAATATAAACGAATCCAAGATTTAAATGATATTTTAATTCAAAAATTTGCTATTGTTGTACCCAAAGCGAGGTTGTTGTGTATACTCGACTTTGATATAAACCAGTTTAGTATTACATATTATAATCTCTCTCCTATACTTAATTTTTA